GGCCTCCCAAAGTGCTGGGATTACAGGCGTGAGCCACCGCGCCCGGCCTTAAAATCTCTTAGTTCTATACATGCTCCACAAATAATCTAACACAGAAAATGGCACCAGTTGTTATGAAAAGTATACTCACCTGTTTTCCATCCACCTCGATATCTGCCACATAGTTCTCAAACACTGTGGGAACATACACCTCCGGGAACTGGTCCTTGCTGAAGACTATGAGCAAGCATGTTTTTCCACAGGCTCCATCACCAACAATCACCAGTTTCTTCCGAATGGCAGCCATGGCTGAAACACAAACCACAGGATTATCTGTAATACACAAGAAGCCATAGGTAGCCTCAGGCTATGACACATGATTTTTTTTAACCATGGGGGATAAGCCTCTAATAGCATACTCAAATTCAAAATTCTAGTACACTGATCCACCTGACACCAAAACGTTATACAACTAAACCTCATAACATTCTATACTTAATGGTAAAAGACTGAAAACAAGGTCTGCTCCCTAAGATCAGGAACAAGACAACAAGGATGTCTGTTCTTGCCACTCCTTTTTTTTTAAAATCGAGTCTCACTTTGTCGCCCAGGCTGGAATGCACTGGTGCGATCTTGGCTCACTGCAACCTTGGTGTCCTAGGTTGTGCCTCAGCCTCTCAAGTAGCTGGGACTACAGGTACACGCCACCACACCCGGCTAATTTTTTTATTTTTAGTAGAGACAGAGTTTCACCATATTGCCCAGGCTGGTCTCAAACTCCTGACGGCGTGATCTGCCCACCTAGGCCTCCCAAACTGCTGGGACTATAGGCGTGAGCCACCGCGCCTGGCCTGTTCTTGTCACTTCTACCCATCAAGACACTGAAAGTCCTAGTCAGGGCAATAAGTAAATGTAATAAAAGACACCCAAATTGGAAAGGAAGAAGTAAAACTATCTCAATTCATATATGAGATGATCTTACAATGTGGGAAATCCTAAAGAATCATTAAAATACTTTTAGAATAGGCTGGGTACAGTGGTTCACGCGTGCAATTCCAGCACTTTGGCAGACTGACGCGGGAGTTTGAGACCACCCTGACCAACATGGAGAAACCCAGTCTCTACCAAAAATACAAAATTAGCCAAGGGTGTTGGCAAATGCCTGTAATCCCATCTACTCGGGAGGCTGAGGCAGGAGAATTGCTTCATCCCGGGAGGCAGCGGTTACGCTGAGCTGAGACCACACCATTTCACCGCAGCCTGAACAACAGGAGCAAAATTTCATCTCGGAAAAAAAAAAAAAAAAAAAAAAGAGAGAAATATGAAGATA